GCTCATGAGTCTAGCCCATGAGTCTAGCCCAAACCAATTAAAGGAGAGATGCGCATACTGACCTGTGGGCCCAGGGCTTCATTTCTTGACCTTTACCTTTTATGCGAGCCAAGAAATTCAGTGTACGTCTATGACTACATGCATCAGCAAAGCATCGATGACAATCAAGTATACGGAACAACAAATGAGCGAATATATTGTTGATTGATCTTTTCATTATAATTGTTTGGGTCGATCTCCTTGTAATTGTTTGGTATAGTAGTTGTTGTAATTGAAATGCATACCTGGCCTGGAGTGATACCTACAGAAGTATTGAGTTATTAGCACTATCTGAAGCGTAAAATTGTAAAAGTGATTAACACTTCATAGATGGGTCACTGTAATTGATAATTTTAGCTACCTTCAAGGTGGTACCTGTAATAACATGGCATATATAATTGGATTGACTGACAAAATGTTTAATATAGGTAGAATTTACTGTTATAGGATGGAATAAATTATCAATTTAATTCATTTTTAAAGATAAATTGTGAAAAAGTTAATGGCATTGTGGTATAAAAATACAAATAGGATCTCACTGTTTGACATCACTAGGGATTGACTGCAGGAAGCTGACCAAAGGCCTTAGGCAGCCAATGGTTTGGACCAACATGTCCAATTTGTTTGACCACCTGTTTTTAGCCAATTTCCAGAGACATTACTGACAGTTGGGCATATAAAAACAATTGTATAAGGGAAGAGGGAGGAAAACCTCCAAAAACAGGTCTCTCTAAAATTACAGACCTCCTTTGGGACTGGAGTAACCATAGTCTTTAACACCTTTAGTCTCTAATTACAATAACAATGTAAAAGACATTTAATTTGGGACATCAGATAAATGGTCTTTAATTGGAGGTGGTCTTTAATTGGAGGTGGTCCTTAATTGGAGGTGGTCTTTATTGGAGGGAGACAATTATATTTATATTAGGATAATTGCACATATACTTTTCAGAAAGAACTGCAAGATGCTTTTCCCCTTGCTCATTGAATATAAAGTCAATTAATGCAAAATGTCATCAACCTCCCCCGCTCGGTAGGGAATTCTGAAGTTTGCATGTAATTTAGCAGCATTAACACTTTTTAGATCATTCACCTCCTACCAGGCAGTATAGTGGGAGAGGCCAAGTAGTCCCCTGTTGTCACAACTAGTCGAACCAGAAAAAAGAAGATTTTCTTTTCTTTTTCTTTAAATTCATTGGACACCACTACTAAAATAACGTTTTTTTCTCTGTCCACCAAATATCTCCGAAAGTATTTCAAGTACAATTATGATTTTCAGAAATGTTGTAGCTACCACCAACGGGACGAGCTTCCGCTGCATTAGGACCCGATTTTGTTATCCTACATGTGTTTTTTGGGCAAAATTAACACATTTTCTTGCTGATTACTTCCAAATCTCAAAACTGTATTGACGTCATTGTGCCGTGCACCTGATATAATATGCATGTTACAAGTCCCACATGCATACATTCATAGCCAAATATATTCACACATTCATAGCCATATATATTCAGAGTCAATACCACAACACCGCATCCAAAAAAAGAACACGACAGAGTTAACATGTTATTACTGTATATTGTTGCATTTTCGCATGCAGGAGGGTAACTGTACTCCAATGTACAGTATTATAAAATGGACAATTCCTCACTTGGACAATTTGGCAGAGACACTCACGCAAAACATTATCTACAAAAAGAGGTCCTTTAGAAAAAATAATGACAAGGTAAACTATAACATCCTCAATGATTGCCTCCTTAATTTCCTATAATATTTAACTATATGCCTCGGCAACTTTTCACACTCATTTAACACGGGTATATGCTAGTTAATACGAAACTCCAACATCTCAACACATCTTAAAATGGACAATATTGCTTTCTATGAAACAATAAAATTTGCCTCCTAGATATACAAATGGTTTTCACAGGTTCAGACCCCCCCCCCCCCACACCAGGTAGCTGAGCCCATATCGGGTAAATCCTGGTGGAGAGCCTCTACCAGCACCAGATAACCATTTACTGATATTCCTAGGTGTCAAGAGACAAACGAAGACCCTACATTAGATAAAATGATGTGACAAAAGCAATGTAATTAAGCGTAGGATTTGAACTAGAACCTCTAAATTCAAAGCCTGAAGCCTTACTGTTGCACCACATCTTCTGCTTACTCTAAACCTATGTCTACACTATCAAATTGTATTTGACAAATTTGTGTGATGTGCCCATATATGGGTATGATGATGTAACATTACTCCCAATATGGGCATATCACATTTCCTTGATAGCTCTGACAATATCAGAGAAATTATACCCAGAATTGGCCTTTTTTTAATATCCTCTTTCTGTGTGTGATAAATCTAAATTTTATGGATCAATATTTAAATTACAAATATTAATTCACTGAAAAATTACTAGATGATTGACATCTGTTCTTAAATGTATAGACAGAAAAAAATTGTGTCAAAATTTAATTTATTATTCATGAAATGGAATTAGTTTCTTTGAAATTCAATCACACTAATATGCTTAAATATTAATTTATAAATGATTATATAGCAACATGCTAATAAAAATTAATAGAATTATTATATTTTTAAAATATTTATTGTATATATTATTCTGCAGATCTAACATGCTTAAATATTAATTTACAAATGATTATAGAGCAACATGCTCTTAAAGTTAATAGAATTATTATATTTTTAAAATATTTATCATATATATTATTCTGCTGGATAGAATTATTATTTTAATTCAACATTTTATTATAAATAATACTTTTTTAATTAAAAATAGTATTATTATTATTATTTTTTTAATCCTTAATGCGAAAAAATTAATTCCATATTAATTTTACATTTTGAATGTATAATATTGAAGTCTTCATGGTACAGTGAGTATAGCATCTGTCGCAGCGGTAAAGGTGTGGGTGTCAAATAAAAAGGTCAGAAGGTCGAGTCTCTGATTATGTGTTTGTGGGTGGGACAAGGCTCTTTATCTGCAATGCAACGCTCCACAATGTGTTGTAATACTTGTAAACTGATATGCAACACTGTGAGTCTGCACTCCTAAAGACACAAGAATTTTCATGATGATAAGCAACATTTTAAGAAGCAGGGAAAGACTACTCACCATTATCACTAACACTGTCACTATTGTCACCAACATTTTCATTATCTTCACCACTGTCACCAACATACCTTTGTCACCAACATTGTCATCATCCTCACTAACTTTCACCAACATTTTCATCATCATCATTGTCACCAACATTCTCACCATTATCACTAACACTGTCACTATTGTCACCAACATTTTCATTATCTTCACCACTGTCACCAACATACCTTTGTCACCAACATGGTCATCATCCTCACTAACTTTCACCAACATTTTTATCATCCTCATCATTGTCACCAACATTCTCACCATTATCACTAACACTGTCACTATTGTCACCAACATTTTCATTATCTTCACCACTGTCATCAACATCACTATTGTTACAAACATTGCCATCACAGTAGTAGACTCAAGGTGGGACCCAGTCAGCTCGAGACCCCTACATTTTTCAATATAATAAACAAAAATTGAGAAAAAAAGAAAAATAATATTCAATTATATAAGTCTGAGAGTGCCATTCCCAGCCATCTAGAGGTGCCATAATCATAAATTTTCCTAATACCTCAGCACCAATTAACCATGGTTCAGCACCAATTAACCATGGTGTGGCTGAGGTGGACTAGACCCTCTATCTGTGAAAGTCTCTCTCTGGGGCCCTCTATTTCAAATTCCTGTATCCACCACCACCATTTTAATATCAAAGTTTTTAAAAATTCATCATCATTCATTATTAATATTCATCATTGCACCATTATTATCACCATTTTTTTTTTATAAATCACAGTAGTCACTTTCTGATTCATTACCTTTTTAATCATCATGACAATCAGGAAGATCAATCATAAATTAAATAAGGCAAAAAAAGATACTTGGTTTTTTTTTTTAACTATCAGTTAGTCTTCTGGCCAATGGCTAATCCTACTGTAGGGTTGGTTCAGTAGCAACCATCTTCATTCATTTTAGTTGAATGTTAATGATAAATGACTGAAATCCATGTCAGATTGTATCAAATTTGTTATTTAAAGCTTAAAGTGAGTTTTAATTTTTTTCATCATACAAGTATTATTGTGTTTACATTTAAAAACAGTATTTTCGCAACTAAACAAATAAGAAAATTTTAAGAAGACCAACCGCATGATTTTTTACATTTTAGGTCAAAAACAATCATCAGTCATATCATGATCATCATCTTCATAGTATTATTATAACAATAAAATTATGCTCAAGTAGTTAAAAATCACCTCACATCACCATCTTTGCAAGCTTCAGTATGCCCCATCATCAAACCCTCTCTCCCACACTTAACCTTCATGCCCCCATAAGCCCCCACATTTTTAAGATTCCTAAATACATCACTGCCATCAATCATTTTGTCACTTGCTCCACTGTCGCTTCTATCAACTTCAATACCAGGCCTGCAGTAGAAAAGCCCATCATAACAACTTACTATCAACCTTACAGAGTGTTACTCTACATTTTACATCACCTCATTAATCATATCATATACAATATATAAAGGTATCTTTTATTCAAAATATCACAAAGCTGAATTGAGATAAAATGTCCAAATAGCAGATCAAAATATGTATAAAATAAAGTAAAACTTACAAGATAATATAAAAGGGTAAAAATCAGTAGCAAACAAAAAGACAAGAGCAAAATTTATAGCACAAACAGTATTTACAAAATCAAACACTAAATGAAGAACTGAACAAGTTTATAAAACATCAAATTGGAAATAAAAAGCCATATGAAAAATATTATTGCAGCAAAATTGTTATTAATTATCATATCATTGGCCATCCCAGAAATAATCTAAGGTATAAAATAACTAACCGTTCAATTCTATGTTTTCGCAACACTTTTGCTCCCAATTTGCTGGCCTTACGACTGTTGGGATGAACTAATTTTTCTTGATATTGTCTTCGACTCTTCTTTTTTTCTTTTGGCTGTAAATAACAAATCAAATATGTATAAGTAAGTTTTAGCGAGGGCTCACTCCAATCCTGACCTCAATGATAGGCAAATTCAAGTTTAATAATAATAATAATTTGTCAATTTATATAGCGAATAATGTAAAATACCTCTATGGGCTTTACAACATGAGTGGAAATTATTAAAAGTTTCACCAAAACAAAAAATAAATAAATGAATAACAATAATAAATAACAAAAATAAATATAAATATATACGATTACTATGTTAATAAATAAAAAAATTGAAAATACAGAATTTTATTTACTTATTTTTTAAATCTACCTAATTGTTAAATATTCATCTCTTAGTCTTATTACATTACTTACCTCTTATTCTTTTTTTTTTCATGCCTTTTTTCCCTTTAACTTTATTTTCTTTCATACTTACGACCTGTCTCTCTTTTCCTTTACTTCCCTGTAATTTATTTCTTTATTTTTCTTCCCCTACCCACTTTTCTTCCTTTCATTTTTCTATCGCTTTCATGTTTTCTCTTTCCTTTTCCATTTCTTACTTTATATTTTCCTTTTCTTTCCTTTCCACATTTATTATTCTTTCCTTTCTTTTTCTTTATCTTTTCGGTTTTTTTTTCTTTTCCTTTCTTAACCTCATTTTGTTTTTCTTTTCTTTCTTTCCCTTTCATTTTCTTTCTTTTTTTTCCTTTCTTTACCTTTCCTTTTCTTTCTTTTCCTTCCTTAACCCTTTCATTTTCTTTCTTCTCATTTCATTATCTTTTCGTTTTCTTTCGTTTCCTTTTCCCTTCTTACCCATTTCAGTTTCTTTCTTTCCCTTTCGTTTTCTTTCTTTTTCTTTTTCCTTTCTTTACCTTTTCATTTTCACATTAAAATGTGTGGACAATTTGTAAACTGTTAGGGGGAAGCTTACGCACATTTAAATCAATTTGCACTTTTCAACAATATTTTAGTAGTATTTTTTTTTCTGTTGACAGGTAGCTATGTGAATGACCAGTGTGACGGGCTTATCATCAAAAAGTAGAATCACCGGGGTCATGTGGGTATGCGTAGGTTATGGGAAGAGGAGGCAGTGGGTGGGTAAGTGAGGGGGTTGGGATGCGGTGGGGGATGTGGTGGGGCTGGGCGAGTTGACAGTTATTATTTTTGTGGGCCTTATTTTTTGGGAGTCTTATTTTTTTTTTTTTTAACAATTTTTGTAAAAAAACATTTAATAGCATGACCAGATTGCAAAAGGCCCGCACAGGAAATATATCCTCCATGCAAAAATTTGGCCTGCCAACTCTCACGCATTATACGTGAGCCTCACACCTGACATTTACTTTTTACGTCTGACGCTTACGTTTTATTATGTTACGCATCATAAAAATGTTTATAAAACTAAAAGATAAAAGGTATAGGCCGATTATACCCTGAAATTCAAAAAAATTAAGTGAATTCATCATTAAAATGCGAATACAGTACAGGTCACGTTTCTTTTAGTTTTTACAAAGCTATACTGATCGAGGGTTGTAATTTTTTAATAAAATAAAATAGAGGGCGCTATATACAACAATTTAATAATCAGACTACAACAAAGTTGGCAGGTATAGTAATCCGTCCATGCATTTCGGAAAATTAGGGCCAATTTCCATACAGATTTTTCCAAAAATGAAGCTTTGACCTAAACTTAATATATTATTATATAAACAATACATTATTCACAATAATTTCCGCACAAATTTGAGCTGGTTTTTGAGTTATCAAACTTTACAGTTATGGCATGATGATGATGATGACTTAATACATACAGGGAGTTGTTATTATTTAGCTGCAACTAAATAACAACTCCCTGATACATACGAATACAGATCATTTCGGTTGCGTTCGTTTCGGTCGCGCTTCATTACGGTCGCGGTTTGTTTTCAACAAATATATGGAGCGCCAATGGAGTTTCGAAAAGCTAAATTTAGTATAACTAGGCCTAATTATCATTGCAAGTTCATCAATCGGTTTATCATACTTTTTTTATTTATGTTTTGTTATATTTCTAATAAATAACAGGAGGCTACTTAAAAGCAAGTAAAATTAACACTATTATTACTAAACTATCAAATAATATTATCGGACGGTTTTTATTTTCGTTTTGTTATGAATCCTACGCTTTCTACTACATAACAAATACAGCAAATAAAATAAATACTAAAATATGATATGATGTTATATATTATTATTATTATTATTTTATTATTTTTTTTAAAATTTACATTGTATCTGGAAAAAACAGCCAATTTGTCATTTAAATTAATGTAACATTAGTTTATTAACAATTATTTTTATTAGTATTAAAGTTTGTTATTGTTTTTTATTATTGTTTTATGAATCCTACGCTTTCTACTACACAACAAATACAGCAAATAAAATAAATACTAAAATATGATATGACGTTATATATTATTATTATTATTTTTTTTTTTTTTATTTACATTGTATCTGGAAAAACCAGCCAATTTGTCATTTAAATTACTGTAACATTAGTTTATTAACAATTAATTTTATTAGTTTGTTTTTTTTAATATATTACTGTACAACTTGGTGCATTTCTCTTTTTTTACAGAAACAACGCAGATGTTATGAAGTTGACCGAGTTTGAGGTATATTTTTTTGGTTCTTGCTATATATATTGATATAATTTTTATTAATGCTTGAATCAAATAAAAATCTTTGGAATAAGTAAAGTCAATAGATTAGTTTCGCATACATTTTTTTTTTTTTGTCTGTTACGTTTCCATTTACCATAAATGTTCTGATCATTTTATAATAATATTGTAAAGGAAATATATATTTCCATATTTATATTTTCCATATAAAATTATCAATACATTGATAATTGCACATTTTAAAAGCCTTTTCATGCTTCTGTTATATTCATAAGCCCAAGAAAATCACTCAACTTGCTAGGCCTATTTCAGTGCATAACTGGAGTATAATTGTGGAAAGATCCAGCCTTTGTTTCCCACAGCATTGTTGTTTTTCAGTATTTTGCC